TCGACGAGGCCGCCGACCAGCCGGAACAAACCAATAACGATATCCCAAAACGGGGAAGAAAGAACGATGATCAAGATCACGGCGGCGCCCGCCAACGGATCAACTTCATCATGGGAGGATCTCACGTCTTTGCGGCATTTATCAATGTGCAAATTAGAAATATGGCACAAAATGAACATTTGTTAGATATCTTGTACAAGTTCATTGTCATATTAATTATGTTGCTTACAAAATCAAAATCGAGTAGTTGGAGTCAGATTGTTTGCACATAGTTAAAACTGAGCCGCATTATCTATAAATTATGGTTAGGGCTGGCACTGAGCCCAAGCAGAACAAGCTTGAGCTTCGGCCCAAATATTTTAAAATTTCGCTTATGTATTTTATCAGCTTCAAAAATACAAAACATGTCTCTAACTCCATTGGCAATGGTCCATATTACAATAGGAGGAGGTTGAGGACTACTACATTAGTAGTCCTTTTGTTTATATTTCTTTATTTTTCCAAAATAGTGGCCCAATTTTTTTTGTGGCTTTTAAATTCTCAACGCCGGCCCTAATTATAAACTAACAACTTTTATTAACTTCGCATCCAAATTAAAATTCTAAAGTCCATTTTTAGTCATCTAATTATATTTGATGGGTATGTATTTTTTTTTTGTCACGAACACACTTCTCCTATTGACTATCGAAATACAGAGTAACCGGGAAACCAATGAGGAACCGAAGTGCTGATAGTAGAAAACACCAAATGTCGCTGACGAGCGGTCCTAGCCAGTAGGTCTGCCTTCTCATTTTGTTCTCTTGGGCAATACACCAGTGTAAAGCCCGGGAAGTATTCGCGAATGATCGCCAGCTCGTCTAACTTTGTCTTGAATCGGGGCCACTTATCCGGATCCTGCACCATAGCAATTAGCTCCTGGGAGTCCGTAGCGAACACCACGCAATACCGATTCTTCCTCCTTAGGCTCTTCATCGCCCATAAGAGACTATGCATCTCTGTATGTAACGGAGACTCACTCCAACGCATTCCCCTTGTACCTAGTAGGTCCGTTTCCCCATCCTGAACTTGTAAAATCCAACCTATTCCACATGTACGTTCATCGTTTTTCCATGCTCCGTCCACGAAACATGTGAAAATAGTTTCTGGTAACGTGGATACACCACTGGTTGGGTGTCTCTTGCGCTAGTAACCACGTCTTAGCCTCCTTTGTAGTAATATCTAGGATCGTCAATGGAGAA